GTTTTTTCTATAATTAAATCTGTTGATACAGTACCGTCCGCAATTGTCAGTCCACCCATTTTTAAAGGAATGACAAAAATTTTTTAACATAAAATTCATGAAAACTAAAATTTTTTTTGGTTTATATTTTGAAAGACGATAAAATTTTAAAAAGAATAAGACCTTACAGAAGTCATTTGGCCAAAATTTGTAGAAGATATTCCTAAAAATCGTCATTTTCAATGTTTTACAAAAATTTAAATAACTTCTAAAATAATGAACGCTTTTTAATAATCTTAGGCTTATTTTAAAGGTCTTTTTCTACGGAAAAAGAATTACTTATAGGCATTAACCTGTCATTTTTAACTTGGAATAAGCATGACGTCAAAATTGGACAAAAAAATTGGAAAAATTTGAAATCAATTTTTTGTACTAAAAACTATTCTAGAACATATATAAAACATGATATGGTGTAGATTTTTCAAGAAAATTTAATAAAAATATATGTTTGAATTTCCAAAATTATTTTTCTTTTAATAATATTATTTCAAATTTTTTGAATTTTTTTGTCCAACTTTGACGTCATGCTTATTCCAAGTTAAAAATGACAGGTTAATGCCTATAAGTAATTCTTATTCTGTAGAAAATGGTCTTTAAAATAAGCCTAAGATTATTAAAAAGCGTTCATTATTTTAGAAGTTATTCAAATTTTTGTAAAACATTGAAAATGACGATTTTTAAGAATATCTTCTACAAATTTTGGCCAAATGACTTCTGTAACGTCTTATTCTTTTCAAAATTTTATCGTCTTTCAAAATATATACCAAAAAAAATTTTACTTTTCATGAATTTTATGTTAAAAAAATTTTGTCATTCCTTTGAAAATGGGTGGACTGACAATTTCGGACGGTACTGTAAATTTTATGAAAATAGTAAATATTTAAAAACATTGAATTGCGAAAAACTTTTAATTGAAATGTTGCAAAGAATTTTATTTAAATTTTTGAAAATAATTCAATTTTTGTCGAACAATTTTGCTATTTATAAAAATAATTGAATTCTTGACGAGATATTCGTGAAATTTTTTTTAAATAATTGAATTTCTTCGAAGAATTTTATTACTTTTGAAAGTAATTGAATTCTTGGGATAAATATTGTAATTTATGAAAATAATTGAATTTTGTGACGAATCAAAATTTTTTTTTAAATTTGTAAATATTTTACTAATGAATAGTAATTCTCACAAATTTATTAGTAAAATTTACTAATTCAAAAGCAAATTTTTACTAATAAATTAGTAGAAATTACCATTTATTAGTAAAGTTTGCTGATTGAAAAGCAAGAAACACGTTATTTTAAAACATTTTTGAAGTAATATAAGTAATTCAATTCACAATTAAAACAATATTAAATTAATATTAAATTTTTTTTCAAATAATTACATTTTTCGAGGAATTTGATTAACATTATTTAAAATAATGAAAATTCTGCGATGAGTTTTATTATTTATAAAAATAATTGAATTCCTAAGAAAAATGTTATTATTAATGAAAATAATTTTAACTCATCTTTAAAGAATTTAATTATTTATGAAAATAATTAAATATTTGCATAATATTTTATCAAAAAATTTTCTTAAATAATTGAATTCGTTTCGAAAATTATATTAAATTTTCAAAAAAAAAAATTAATTCTACACTTCTAATATTCAATTATAATTATTTTTTTCTTTTGGAAAAAAAACATTTGTCTAAAAATCAGGGAAAAGTATGAAAATCAGGGAGTTACTTAATTTAGTAAAATATAAATTTAGTTTTAAAATCCTGGAAAAATTCCCTTTTTTAACCTGGAAAAGTCAGGCGGAATTTGAAAAGAGCAAAAGCGTGACAACCCTGTTAAAAATATACCAAAATATTTAAAGGCAAATATTAAAACCAAAATATCTAATAAGTTGGATAAAAATTTGCAGAGTCAGAGAGAAAATATTTGCCAGTAATAATAGTTCCGTTATGTCAAATCAGAAATTTATAGATCTTTCTTTATAGCGCGAGCGCGCGGTTGAAAAAAAGTTGAGGGAAAAAAGTATAGACAAAAAAAGAATCCCGCTAAACGAGACTTGTGCCGCATATTATCAGAGTAACTTTGGGTAAGTTTTAAAAGCTCTGCCGGCGGTTCAGCATTTTTAACCTCAAGCCGTAAAAGTTAAATATTCACTTCATGAAAGGACCGTAAAGGGGGAGGTTTTTGGTAACTTGAGTAGTGAAAATGAGGGTTGTGTAGAATAAGGTAAACGGACAGAGGAAAGAGAATTCATTACTTCGCCATCTTTCCATCCACCCGCGTTTGTAATTATTCAAAACTTTATTCTGCTTTACTTCCAAATGCTGTATATAAAAAAAGCACGCACATATATGCTGTACACATTATTTCAAAAATTTAGACACACAATTATAATATGCGAATCAATTTTTCTTTTATAGCAAGTGCAAATTTTTTTTCAAAAAGCCAAAATTTTTTTTAAATTTATTTGAAACAACCAAAAGTAGACAACCAAAATGTGGATAGTTGTATAACAAATGCTGCAACACTGTTAACTAAACCAAATTTTACAATTTTTATTTGAATTAAAACAAAAATATAATTGTTGCCTTCAATGTTTTTGCTATGATTTTTGTTTCCTTAAACAAAAATCAATAATTAAAACTTGCTATTTTATTACTGTAACTTCTTCAAAAATTATTTTCATTATTTTCGATTCCATTTTTCATTTTCTAGAATTTTAAACTAAAATTCATTTTTAACTCAATTTCTTAAAAATAATTTTCGAAATTGTTCTTTGAGAATTTTCAAATCCTTTTTTTACAATTTAATTTTACGAAATGTCGATTATTTTTACATTCTTCAATGAAACATATTAGAAATTAAAAGATTCAAATAATTAAAAAAAAATTCCATTAAACTTTTTGAAAAAAATTAATTCTTCAGAATTCTTAATTAAAAGTATGAAAATTTAAATTTTCAAAGATTTTAATTTGAAACTTTGAGAAAATTAAACTATTTCTAAAAATCCATGCTATATAATGTTTTCAATATTTAATTATATAACTGGAATTCATTTTTAATTGAATATTTATTAGATAATTCTACGAGAATTCAATTTACTTAAATACAAAAATAAATAATTTATTGAATAATTGAATATTTCCTAAAATTGAATTTTCATAAAAAATAGTATCAATAAATTCTTAAATAATTTCATTTTTAGAGAAGTTTAATAAAAATTGTATTAAAAATAATTGAAATTCTGCCAAGAATTTTATCAAAATTTTTGAAAATAATTGAATTTCAGAGAAAAAGTTTATTATTTATAAGGTAATTGAAATTTTGACTAGAATTTTCGTAAATTTTTGAACATAATTGAATTTCTGCTGAGAAATATATTACTTTTGAAAATAATTGAATTCTTGAGGCGGATTTTATTTTAATTTCTTTTTAAATAATTGAATTCTTTTGCGAAATTTTTTTTTTAAATAATAGACAATGAAAATAATTGAATTTTGATAAATTTTTTAAATTCATTAAATTTCTACGAAGGATTTTATTAAAATTATTTGGAAAAAATGGAATTGTTATGTTACAAAGAATTTCATTAAAATTTTTAAAAATAATTTAATTTCTTGAAGAAATTTAATTGAAAATGTATGGAAAATAATACTTAAATTCTAATAAATAAATTTGTAGTAAAGATTTTTAAAACAATTGAATTTCTTTAATAAATTTTAATAAAATTTTAAAGAATAATTACATTTATCGTGGAATTCGATTAAAATTTAAAATTTCAAAGAAAAAGTTTATTATTTATAAGGTAATTGAAATTTTGACTAGAATTTTTGTAAATAATTGAATTCTTTTGCGAAATTTTATTAGAATAATAGACATTGAAAATAATTGAATTTTGACAAATTATTTAAAATTTAAATTGATTAAAATTTAAATTAAATAAATTTCTACGAAGAATTTTATTAAAATTATTTGAAAAAAAAATTGAATTGTTACAAAGAATTTCATTTAAATTTTTAGAAATAATTTAATTCCTTTAAGAAATTTAATTAAAAATGTATGAAAAATAATGCTTAAATTCTAATAAATAAATTGTTGTAAAGATTTATTTATTTCAAATAACTTGACTCCCTGAAAAGGAAATCATTTAGATTTCGAAACATTGGAGTAAATCAATTTTTTAATTTGTCCGAATGTTTTCATTTATTTTCCTTCATCTATAATAATTTATATTTCTCGGGCGTAAAAGATTGATCAAATAACCTGTTATCTATTAATAATCTATTGTCAAATAAATGTTTACTTGAATCAAATAATTTCTATTCAAATAAATTAAATGGTATTTGACCAATAATTTCAATATTTGAAGCAAATATCATTTAATTAAGTCAAATAAAAATTATTTGCTTCAAGTAAATAGTTAATTCATAATAGTCACGTAATCAGTTATTAATAAAATTTTTTTTAATGTAATTTTTTACTAAAAACTTTGTTAAAACGCTTATAAATTTATGTAAATAAACACTTGGACTTCAGAAAGAATCCGACAAATAATCGAAACAGGAAATAGTTCTATTTCATTATTTCTATTTTTAGTAAAAATCCAAATTAAATTTTAAATTCATTGCAGTAGGATTAATTTTTATTTTAAATTTAAATTCATTATTAGTAATTAAATATTGCGTTTGAATAAAAAATACTTTTTTTGTCAATAAGAAACATTCGAATTAGTAAAAAGTCGTCTACTAATTTCAATTCGTAAAAAATTTCTACTAATTCCTAGTAAATTGATACTAAAATATTTTAGTAAAAAATTCTAAACTAAAAAAAAAATAATAAAAAATTATTAAAATTAATAATTAAAAAAAATAATTTTTGTGTATAATTATAATTACCTATATCCTCTTACGTTATTTCTTTATAACGTAAATATTCAAATAAAACCAAAAAATAAAACTTACATGAAACTTCATATTGCCGATATTCAAAGGTGCATACAGAGAATGGTGTCGACTGTAACAAATAAAAATAAAATAAATTAATAAAAAATAAAACACAGAAAAATTAAAAACTAAACAAACAAAATAATAATCACATTGTTGCAAAAACAATAAATCACTTTGAACATCCAGTATGCATTAGTAAAAAAAATAATAGTAAAAGAAATTGAATATTGACAAATTTCTTAAATTAATTAAATTTTTACTCAGAATTTTATTAAAATTATTTGAAAAAAAAATTGTTACAAAGAATTTCATTAAAATTTTTTAAAATAAATTAATTGTTAGAAGAAATTTAATTAAAAATGTATGAAAAACAATACTTAAATTCTAATAGATAAATTATAGTAAAGATTTTTAAAGTAATTGAATTTCTTTGATAAATTTTAATAAAATTTTTTAGAATAATTACATTTTTCGAGGAATTCTATTCAAATTGTATTCAAAATAATTGATTTTCTTTGAAACACTGTATTATTTATGAAAATAATTGAATTCCTTTGAAGAATTTTATTATTTATGAAAATAATTTGTAAATAATAATTTATGAAAATAATTTGTAAATAATTGAATATTTCTTAAAATTGAATTTTCTTAAAGAATTTTATCAACAAATTTTTAAATAATTGAATTCTCTTGACAAATTTTAATAACATTTTTAAAAATAATTTCATTTTTAGAGAAATTTGATGAAAATTGTATTAAAAATAATTGAATTTCAGAGAAAAATTTTATTATTTATAAAGTAATTGAAATTTTGACTAGAATTTTTGTAAATTTTTTAACATAATTGAATTTCTGCTAAGAATTGTATTATTTTTTAAAGTAATTGTATTTTTGAGGCGGATTTTATTAAAATTTCTTTTTAAATAATTGAATTCTTTTGCGAAAATTTTTCAAAATCATTGAATTTAGAGAAAATTTTTGAAACTTATTAAATGTCTACGAAGAATTTTATTAAAATTATTTGGAAAAATTTGAATTGTTACAAAGAATTTCATTAAAATTTGTAAAATAATTTAATTCCTTGAAGAAGTTTAATTAAAAATGTATGGAAAATAATACTTAAATTCTAATAAATAAATTGTAGTAAAGATTTTTAAAATAATTGAATTTCTTTGATAAATTTTAATAAAATTTTTAACAATAATTACATTTTTCAAGGAATTCCATTAAAATTGAATTAAAAATAATTGAAATTCTGCCAAGAATTTTATTAATATTTTTGAAAATAATTAAATTTCAGAGTAAAACTTTATTATTTATAAACATAATTGAAAATTTATCTAGAAATTTTTTAAACCTTTAAATATAATTGAATTTCTGCGAAGAATTATATTACTTTTGAAAATAATCGAATTCTTTTGTGAAATTTTATTAAAATAATAGACTTTGAAAATAATTGAATTTTGACAAATTTTTTAAATTATTGAAATTTTTACCAAAAATTTTATATTATTAAAATTATTTGGAAAAAATTTGATTTGATACAAAGAGTTTCATTAAAATTTTAAAAAACAATTTAATTCCTTGAAGAAGTTAAATTAAAAATGTATGAAAAATAATACATAAATTCTAATAAATTAATCGTAGTAAAGATTTTTAAAATAATTGAATTTCTTTGATAAATTTTAATAAAATTTTTAAGAATAATTACATTTTTCGAAGAATTCTATTAAAATTGTATTAAAAATAATTGAATTCCTTCTGAAACATTTTATTATTTATGTAAATAATTGAATTCCTTTGAAGAATTTTATTATTTATGAAAATAATTTGTAAATAATTGAATTCCTGTAAAATTTTTATTATGTATGAAATTAATTAAATGTTTGCGTAGAATTTTATTAAATTTTTTTCAACCATGTAATTGAATTCTTTGGGAAATTTTTATTAATGTAGTACATATTAAAAATCATTGAATTTAGAATAAAAAAATTTTAATTTTGCAAAGAATATTATTAAAATTTTTGAAAATAATTGAATTTCTGCAATCGTTTGCAATTGCTTCAAAATTCAATTTTTTTTTTTACTTAAAAATTAAAAATAATTGAAATTCTGCAATGAGGTTTACTATTTATGAAAATAATTGAATGTATTGCGAAGAAATTTTTAAAAATAAAATTATAATTATACGGTGACTAGGTAACTAGTCTAGTAACATTTTTATAAATGTAAAAAATTATATTTTGTGTTTAAAGTAGTTAAAAAGTTCCGATAGAATAATTTACAGTTCGGATAAGGGGGAGAGAAGCAACATTTTTGATTCGTTTTTCGACTCAATTTGATATCCTGAGAAAAACTGTGTATCGATGTTACAGTTTATACCCACAATGCAAAAACTTTTTACCAAAAAAATCTAACTCTAAAATATTCATACCAAGTCTCGCCATTAAAACGTATATAAAAAACACTGTTTTTTCGCCCAAAAAGCTCCAAAGTGTGAAAAATTCTACGAAAAGGTGTGACACACAGTGTATATATATATAATATGTACACACACATCAACCCTCTTATCAGGGTTGAAACGTGAGTCATGTAAAAATCTTTGTCGAGAGAACAAGAGGTGAGGTAGTAGCAAAGGGGAGGGCGTGGGGGGCAAAAAGTGCAGTAACGTAAAACAGCAATGTGAGAGCAGCAGTTTTGACGAAAAGTTGAAGTTTATGGTCGTTTATACATATATATATATCTATATCTATAGAGAAATGGTAGATATAACGAGGAAATCCCACGGTCACAGGCCATGTCATGAGGAGAGCTTCCCGTAAGCTCGCAAAAGCCCCGAAAGCTCGAAAGAGAGTGTCACGTTCCCATAGCAACTGAGGATGACTCCGCCTCTCTGAAACCCCCGGTTCGATATCCTCACCTCCTCATTTCTCTCATTCCTCGTCGCTATCAATGTGCCCCACATTTTTCCACCCTGCCATATAATGCTGTACGCGCAATATGTCGCGAACTCAAATTTTTTTTCTCTCTTGTTTTTCTATTTTTTTTTCTTTTACTATTATTATTATTTTTGCAAAAGCCAGACAAAAAGTTTTACCCACAGATGTCAAGAACTCAATATATAAAAATTCGCGAATTTTCCAAAAAATTGAATATAAAAACATGTTTTTATATTTTAAATTTAAAACAAATTTCTTCTCACTCTCTAAAAGAGGAAAGAAGGAAAAATATTTCTCAACATCGTAGAAATTACAGTTTTTTCAAATTTACTTTTTCCGACTCAGTTCAAAGGTGGATACAACTTTATTAACAATAAAAAAAAAAACATCTTTTTATATTAATGTATAGAAAAAACAGGGTTTTCTCATTTCATATTCACTGACATTTCCAGGTTAAAAAACATAATTTTTCCAGGTTTTTAAAACTACATTTATATTTCACAAAAATTTTATTTTTAATATTATTCTTAATCTTACCAAACTCCCTAATTTCCAGACAAAACGACTTTTTTCCTGTATTATTACATTTATTTATGAACTTCTTTAATTGTAAAATACTAAAATTACTCAAAAACATCAATAACTTTGTTTTTAAATGAATATTTAATCATTATTATTTTTTTACAGAAATTAAAATTCTCAAAAATTTTAAATTCAATTACATATATAATAATTAAAACTTGATACTATCATTATTTTATATTATAAAAATATTGTTACTGTAATTTCATCAAAATTATTTTCAATTCAATTCTTCATTTCTAGAATTTTAAACTAAAATTCTTTTTTAAAACAATTTTTTTTAATAATTTTTGAAAAAGTTCTTCTTTGAGAATTTTTAAATCCATTTGTTTACAATTCAATTTTACCTAAACTTTTGATTATTCTGACATTCTTCAATTAAATAAATTAGAAATTAAAAACTTTAAATAATTAAAAAAAAATTTCATTAAACTTTTTGAGAAAAATTAATTCTTAATTTCCTTAAAAATCTTGTCAAAAATTTAATTATTTTTATAGATAATAAAATTATTCGCAGGAATTCAATTATTCTCAAACAATTTAAAGAAAATTCTTCGAAATAATTCAATTATTTTTAAAATTTACAAAATTCTTCGCAAGAATTCAATTATTTTCAAAATTGATAAAATTCACCGTAAGAATTCAATTATTTTCAAAAATGATAAAATTCTTCGTAAATATTCAATTATTTTCAATCTTAATTTTTACGTAATTTTGATTATTCTGACATTTTTCAATTAAATAGTATATATTAGAAAATAAAAACTTGAAGAATGAAAGAAAAATTCAATTAAACTTTTTTGAAAAATAAATTCTATACAGAATTGTTAATTAAGAGTATGAAAAGTTCAAATTTTCTAAAAGATTTTAATTTGAAACATTTTCAAAAATCAATTATTTTTAAAAATTTACGCTATATTGCTTTCAATATTCAATAATAATCTAAAATTTTAACTGAAATTTATTTTTAAATCAATATTTACTAGAAAAATACATGAGAATTCAATTATTTAAATACAAAAGTAAATATTTTATTAAATAATTGAATGTTTCTTAAAATTGAACTTTTATCAAGAATTTTGTCAACAAATTTTTAAATAATTGAATTCTCTTGATAAATTTTAGTAAAATTTTTAAGAATAAGTTTATTTTTCGGAAATTTGATTAAAATTTGATTAAAAATAATTGAATTTCTCCAAAGAGAAAAGAGTTTTTGAAAATAATTGAAATTTTGCCAAGAATTTTATTAAAATTTTTGAAAATATTTGAATTTCGGAGAAAAATTTATAAAGATTATTGAAATTTTGACGAGAATTTTTGTAAATTGTTGAACACAATTAAATTTCTGCGAAGAATTATATTACTTTTGAAAATAATTGAATTCTTGAGACGAATTTTATTAAAATCTCTTTTTAAATAATTGAATTTTTTTGATGAATTTCAATAAATTTTTTAAGAATAATTTCATTTTTCGAGGAATTTCATTAAAATTCTATTAAAAATAATTGAAAGTCTGAGATGAGTTTTATTATTTATAAAAATAATGAAATGTTGCGTAGAATAAAAAATTTTTTTTTAAATAATTGAACTCTTTTGAAAAGTTTTATTAAAGTAGTAGATTTATTAAAAATCATTGAATTGAAGAAAGTTTTTGAAAATAATTGGTATTTTGTCATGAATTTTATTAAAATTGTTAGAAATAATTGAATTTCTAAGAAGAATTTTATACTAATTTGGAAAATAATTGAATTTATGCAATCATTTGTAATTGCTTGAAAATTCAATAATTTCTTTTAGTGTTTTTAATTAAAATTCTTCTATAAATCCATTATTTTTAATAATCAATTAAAAATATATATTAAAAAATTTAACTAATTTCAGAAGAATTGGAATAATTAAAATTTCTCAAAAATTTACGTTCTTTAAGACAATTTCTCGTTAAATTCATTGAAAATTGAAATTTTACAAAATTTCAAATTAAAATCTTTTGAAATTCATCTGTACTTATGAAAATTGTAAACGCAACTTTTTTAAAATTTAATTAATTTTGAAATACTTATGTAAAATTAGATTTCAAGAATAAATTTTAGAAAATAACGATTTTTTAGGATTTCGATCAAAATTCCCTGACTTTTCCATGGTTTTTTAAAGGTTTATAAAGTTCCCTGACATTTCCAGGTTTTCCAGGTTTCCAGGTTGCGTGACAACCCTGAAAATGTTTACTAATTCGAATTAGTGACTGACTTTTTGCTTTTGAATTAGTAAATTTTACTAATAAATTAGTAGAAATTACTATTTATTAGTGAAGTTACTAATTTTACTAATTCAAAAGCAAAAAGTCAGTCACTAATTCAAATTAGTAAATTGAATTTACTAATTCAAGTTTAGAGAGTAGAAAAACTGTGGCTCAAAAAAATAATTAATATAAAAAAAAATATAGCAAAATTTTAATACACATAAAAATTTGTCAAAGATTTTCCAAGTATTATAATAAACGCGCAGTGTATGTATAAAATGTATAAAATGGACTATTTAGGAAAAATATTTCAACTCGAATCCAAATGATTTCGATCGGAAAGTTTCTTTTTTACCTGTTGTCGATATGAGAGAAGAGGGTGCACAAGGATGGCGAGACCGACGACCATGAGTTCAATTTCGTTGAGTGCATCCAACGAGTGATTCCAACATACATATATGTGTCTGTGTTTGTATATATAAACACCAATACACGATTATTGCACGGTGCAGTGATTCACCCATACGTATATATATATTTATACAATAAAAATATGTCTCGCTTCCCGTTTTCAAGCTCTCCGATTCTACTAAAACCGTATATGGATGTCAGAAAAAGGTGGACTTGGTCTAACCATTATTGCCCATCCTTTTTCATTATCACTGTGCACGACCTTGTCTCTATCTTCCCACAAGCAATTTAAGTCAGATTTTTCATCATAAATCGACGCAGGTGACTTAAATTTATTGTAACATTTTTTTCCAATTTGTTTCTGTTAGAGCAAATATCAAGTTATTTGTTGCGCACTGAAAATCAGTCAAATTTCACTGCACACTCAGGGCCTCGATCGATTTTTCGCAATAATTCAATTATTTTCATAAATAATAAAATTCTTCTCAGGAATTCAAATATTTTTGAAAATTTTAATAAAATTCTTTGCAGCTATTCAACTATTTTCATAAATAATGAAATTCATCGCAGGATTTTAATTATTTTTAATACAATTTTACAGGAATTACGCAAAAAATGTCGTAATAATTACTTTTTAAAACAAAAAAAAAATACTTAAATGAATCGAATAATCGGTTTGATTATTATTTATTGAAAAAATTTTTTTTTTCTATTATTTTTTTATTATTTGAAAAAAAATTTAATAAAATTGCAAAAATAATAAAATGCAAAACATTTAATTATTTTCATAAATAATAAAAATTTCACAGGAATACAATTATTTATAAATTTTTTATAAATTTCTTCGCAATATATCCATTATTTTCATAAATAATTAAATTCATCGAAGAATTTCAATTATTATTAATACTATTTTAAATTAATTAATCGAAAAATTCAATTATTTTAACAAATAAAGTTTTACACAAGAATTCAATTATTTAAAATCAAATTTTCATAATATTTATTATATTTCGAAAACATTAATTATCTAAAGCAATGTTTATAAAAATTATTATGAAGAATTCAGTTATTTTCAAAGATAATAAAATTTTTCACAGAAATTCAATTTTTTTAAAACATTTTAATAAAATTTTTCACAATAATTCAATTATTTTCATAAATAATAAAATTCTTCTCAGGAATTCATGTACTTTTGAAAATATTAAGAAAATTCTTAGCAACTTTTCAATTATTTTCATAAATAATAAAATTCATCGCAGGATTTTAATTATTTTTAATACAATTTTACAGGAATTACTCAAAAAATGTAATTATTCTTAAAAATTTAATTTCAATTCCTCCCTAAAATCAATTATTTAAATAAATGATTTTTTAAAATTCTTTGGAACAATTCAATTGTTTACAAAAATATTAGAATTTTTCACAGGAATTCAATTATTTTCAAATATTTTAATAAATATTTTTGAAAGAAATCAATTATTTTAAATACAATTTTAATTAAATTTTTTTGAAATAATTCAATTATTCTTTTAGATTTTAATAAAATTTTTCCCAAGAATTCAATTATTTACATAAATAATTCTTCGAAAGAATTCAATTATTAAAAATAAATAACAAAATTATTCCTGAAAATTCAATTATTTTGAGGCATTTTAATAAAATTCAATTTGTTTTAGTGTTTTTAACTAAAATTCTTCTATAAATCCATTATTTTTAATAATCAATTAAATATATATTAAAAAATTTAACTAATTTCAGAAGAATTTTAGTTATTAAAATTTTTAAAAATTTCTAATTAAATTCATTTAAAATTAAAATTTTACAAAATTTCAAACTAAAATCTTTTGAAGTTCATCTACTCATAAAAATTGTAAACGCAACTCTTTTAAAATTTAATTAATTTTGAAAGATTGAAGTAAAATTAGATTTCAAGAATGAACACAGTAACTTTAGAAAACAACAATTTTCCAGGATATCGATCAAAATTCCCCTACTTTTCCAGGTTTTTCAAGGTTTAGAAAGTTCCCTGACATTTCCAGGTTTTCCATCTTTCCAGGTTGCGTGGCAACCCTGAAAAAAATGAATTTTGTTCTTTTCATTCAGAATACAACAAAAAAGAATAAATTTCCTTTTTTTCCATTCAGAATAAAATCCACCAAAAAATACAAAAAATTAAATATTCCTTCAAATTAAAAATTTCTCCTCTAATTCCTTTTTTTTGAAAAAATATACATTTTTCAGTAAATTTAAAGCACAACGAGCGTTTATTATCCAATCACATAAATCCAACTTTGAAAAAGCAGAAAAAAACCCCAAAAAAAAGAAAAACCAATAAGAACAAAAAAAAAGAAAAGAAAAGAAGGAAACTTATCAGAAAACCTCGTTTGTAGTTTGAAGGATCCTCGTGATATCCTCGCACTTGAGAAAAGTCGAGAATCAAAATGCGCATGCGCCTTAATGAAAACCCCTCCAAAAACTTCCCATGGCAAATTCCTCGTTCCTGGTAGGGTGAAATTTCCCTCCCTCACATCGCCCCACCCGCGATTCCCATATTTCCGTCGATTCCGTCTCTCTATTTCTCTCTCTCTTATCACCTTCTCTCTCTCACTCTCTAGCAAACCACCCACGCTTTAACCGACGACACAGTCCAGCTCCGCACCCACCGACCTCCCTTGTCCCGGCAACAGCTAAACCAGAAGCCGCGGTCTCTCCCGGTCATAGTTTCACTCGATCCGATAATCATTTCGCACATCGTTTCAAAAAAAAAAAAAAAATTATTTTTTTTCTCCATTCTTTTCGTTATTTATCAAAAAGAAAGAAATTTCTTTAAATTTCAAACGAAAAAAAAATCGAAACGAAGAGAGAGAAGGTAAGAAAAAAAACCAATCCTCCGACGGAATAGGATGGGATGCCGGTACCAGATACGTTTTCTCGCTTGGAGGATAAAAGCAAGTCGAGTGGCAGTCGCGGAGTTCCGCGGAATTCGGCGTTTCTTATATTAGCCGGCGCGCTTTCAGAGCGGCAGGGTAGGATCCGCAAAAGGAGAGAATAACTAAGTCTGGTCCTTCGAGTCTATCGGTCGAGAAAGGGATCGAGAGAGGGATCGAGAGAGAGAGAGAGAGAAGAGAGTCCCTTTTTCTACCATCGGACTGCAATTTACATTGGGTCCGGTCGCGGATTTACATTGACACGCGTGTAAAAACATTTCCGTCCCTCTCCCCCCTCCTCTCATCCCAGACGCACGGGGTGAACCGATGGGATTCAATTTTAGACGATCGATAATCTTTTAAGGACCAGTCTATCAAAAACTGTCGTTAAAAATCCACAAGACCCCTATAAGTGTATTTTTCTTTCTCTAAACCAACTTTTTAAAACTTTTACAATTATTTCATTTTGAAGGAGAGAAAAATAAGGGAGTGGTGGCGTTGATTGGAGACTGTCTCCGATTTGACAAAGGATTATTATTTACAAAGTGTGCGAAGAAAAGAAATAGAAAAACATTTTCTATTCCTGTAGTGAGAAAGTGTTATAAAGGTGTCAAAAGAAGAAAACAGTGCTGCATAAATGAGAAGAGGTGTTTTGATCAAAAATTGAAAGACGGAATTGGAAAGGTAAGAAAGAGGAAGAAAAGGGAAGGAAAGGGACATAAAATAGACTCAAGTGGGAAGGCAAAACAAACAATTGAATAGGAAAATAAAAAATAAAAAAAAAAATCAGAAAGAAAAGGTAAAAAATAAATTCAGGAAGAAAAATTAAAAAAAAATTCAGAAAGAAAAAAATTATTCAAAAATTGAAAAAGAAAGAAGAAAGAAAAATTAGACAGAGAAATTAGAATAAAAAATCAGACGCAGAGAAATTAGAAAATACGAAAAGGAGGTGGAGTCAAGAAAAATAATGTAGAAGAGAGTAAAAAAAAATTAAAAGACTAGAAAAGAGAAGGAACTGAATAAACTATCAAGAAGGAAGAAAAAGAAAATTAAAGGAAACAGAAAAAAATAAAGGATAAAGAAAATGAGTTAGAAGCGAATAGAAAAACTCGAAAGGAAAGGAAAATAAAATAAAAGAAGAATAAAAAAGAAAGAAGAAAGTAATAATACAAGCGAATAGCTAATCCGTTAGGAAAGGAAGAGATAATAAAAGAAACAAGAAAAAAAATAATAAACGGATGAAATTCAAGAAAATAAATTAGAAGTGTATAGAAAATCCGATAGGAAAAAGAAGAGGTAATAAAAGAAAAATAAAAGAAGAAAGGAGAAAAAATAAATAGGAATAGAAGGAAATGAAAGTACAGAAAATAAATAAGAAGCGTAATCCGAAAGAAAAAAGAAAGTAAAGTAAAAAGTAAAGAAAATTAGAAAAAGAAAAAAAAAATAAATAAATAACAAGCGGATGAAATTCAAGAGAATAAATTAGAAGCGAATAAAAGTACAGAAAATAAATAAGAAGCGTAATCCGAAAGAAAAAATAAAGTAAAAAGTAAAGAAAATTAAAAAAAGAAAGAAGAAAAAATAAATAATAATAGAAGCGAATAAAAATGAAAAAAATAAATTTGAAACTTATAGGAAATCCGAAAGAAGAAGAAGAGGCAATGAAGAGAAAATAAGAAAAAGAAGAAAATAAGAAAAAGAAAAGAAAGAAATAATAATAGAAACGAATAGAAAATCCAATAGGAAGAAAAAAGATAATAAAAAGAAAAGAGAAACAGCAAAGAAGAAAATAATAAATAAATAACAAAAGGATATCCGTAAGGAAAAGATGAGGAAATAAAAGAAAAAGTAAAATAATTGTTATAAATAATAATATAGAAGCGAATAAAAATCTAAAAAGAAAAAGAAGAGATAATAAGAAAAAAGAGAAAGAAAAAAGGAAAAGAGGAAAATAATAAATGAATGATAATAATAAACAAATAATTATAAATGAATAAATAATAATAAATAATAATAATAATAAATAAATAATAGTAAACAAATAATAAATGAATGATAATAATAAACAAATAATAATAAATGAAGAATAATAAGTGAAAAAATAGAAAGGAAATTGATAAATGGAAGAATAGAAGAAAATTGTACAAAGTTGCAGCAAACGGAGAAGAAAAGCAAAAAATTTAAACAAAATTAGACAAATTCAAAAACAAGTGCTGAGTAAAAGTCAGTGGAACGAGAGACAAAAAATCAAAAATAATACTAAAAATCAAATAAAAATAGACAAAAAAAAGTGTTCTATGTAAAAAATCGAAAATCAAAAAATTTAAAATAAAAAGCAAACATTGAAATTGTAATCAAAAAAGAACAAAAAAATAAAAATAAATTTAAAAACTTGTGCTAAATAACAGAAATGTGAATAAAATTCGAAAAAGAACTAAAAGGGAAAAGTGCAAAAAATCATCTTTCAAGAGTTTTATGGAGAAAATTACAAAATCAAAGACAAGGCACAAAATAATATAAAATTCCCATCATAATAAGAATAAAACATTCTAAACCAGAAATCAAACACCTATAGAAAAAAAAATTGGAACTAAAATTGTGATTCCGTCTGCTGATTAGAAACATAAACACAAAAGGTCTGTGAATCTAAATAAAATACAAAAACCTCTCAGTAGTAAACAACCTACGAATCAAGAAACAGATAGACAACTTCCAGTGAAAAATTATGTGAAGCAAAAATCAAGTTCAAAATTCAGAAAATAACAATTTTTTTCTTCAATTTTTTCAAATTTAAAAAATAAACCTATTCTTTTAGGTTCTCTAATTCGACGCACAGAAAAAATCAAACTAAAAATATCTATTTTCAAGTTCTTCTATTCTCTCTTACTGAAAAAAATTATCCTTATTTTATTAAATCTTTATAAAGATTTAACGTTACTTTTGTTAAAAACGTCAATTTTGTCTAAAAAAAAAATAATTTTCGAACATAGTGTCAAAATTTGTCAGGAGGAAAAAATTTATTCACAATCAAAACACAAAAATGTCGTAGACAATTTTAAAAAACCGAAATAAGAAAGGATAAAAGGATAAGAAAATTATACTGAGAAAAACAACTTTTCCAACAAAAATACTTTCTTGATACAAAATTGATACAAAATTTTGTCTTGATACAAAATTATTTCGTCTTGCTACAAAATTATTTTGTCAGAACAAAATAATTTTACGTACTTTTATAATTAGAAAAGTACGTAAAAAAATAATTGTGGATAATTCACAAATTCGACAAAAGGAAAAAATAAGTAAATAAAAAAGAGAAAGAAAGAAAAAGAAGCAGAAGGAGAAGAATAAGAAGAATAAAATTAAGAAAATAAGGAAATAAAATAAAAAATAAATAAAAAAGAAGCAAAGAAAAAGAAACAAAGGAGAAAAAGAAGAAGAAGAAGAAAAATAAAATAACAAATAAATAAAAACAAAGAAGCAAACAAGAAGAAACAAAGGAGAAAAAAAAGAAGAATAGAAGAATAGAAGAAAGAAAGAATACAAATAAAATAAATAAAATAATAAATAAAAAACAAAGAAGCAAACAAAAAGGAAAAAAAGGATAAAAAGAAGAAGAAAAAGAAGTAATTTAATGAAAAAAGAAGAGATGAAAGAGAAATTTCCGCGCTCCAGATTTCGCAAAGCAAATTGACGGTCGATCGGTAGCATAAGCAAGGTTATGGTCGAGATAAACTGGGACCAGTAAGTCGAGCTGATAAGGTTGGGGCCGTCGCTCGACACAACTGCCAGTGGATGAGTACGCGGTTGCCTTCAGGCCCGCTCGGACTGTCTTTACTCTCAAAGCATCACTTTTCCTCTCGTTTCCAAATCTCATTCATCAAAAATCATTCATCTCTCCATAAAAACGAGTGTTAATTTTATTTCCAACTCCTAAACATCAACTATAAATATACAATTCTAATTGAAATTAAAACCAAAAAGAAAATCGAAATTCCACAAAAAGAAAAACCAAGTTTCAATGAAAAAACAAAACAGTTAAATTCCCAAAAAACGCTACAATATTAAACAGTTAAATTCTCAAAACAAACGCTACAATAAACAATTTTTTTCCAATAAAACCGAAAGAATCGAAAGAAAATAATTTTTCCAAAAGGAAAGAACCACTGTTTCTTAAAAATGCAATTCATCAACAATTTTCGTCGAATGTTTTAGTTCTCAAAGAAAAAAAAAGTTCTTCAAAAAGAAAAAGAAAATTCTCCACCAAAAAGGATTTTTTCACTCCTAAAGGCAGAAAGAATTTTCCACAATGAAAATTTTAAGAAAACTAAAATAAAAAAAAATCCTTTCTTAAAGGAATAATTTTCCAGTATTTGATATTTAAAATTTATCTAAAACCTCATTTTGATAAAACATTTTTTAAAATCGATGATTGTTTACGTTCAATTAGAAGTGCTGCGAGAAGTGAATAAAATTAAGAGGTGAAAATCTGAAGAGGAAGAAAAAAATCTCGCCAATGAAGATGAAAGACGAACCAAAGGAAAAATTCGAAGAAGCTTTCCATGAAACTTTTCAAGAAACTTTCCAAGAAAGAAAAAATTAAAAAGAAAATAAACATTTATTATAATTTCGACCAATTCCGTCGGTCAATCACAATTCACCATCTTCTCATTTAAAAATAATTTCCCCAAAGCTAAATTTGACACCTATAAAAAAAAAAATGACTCGAAACCTTTACCATTTTCGTTACTTCGAATATTCGCCAATGCTGAACATTTGAAAAATGCGAAAATTGGATTTTTAACAAAAGTGAAGTGTGGATTTTCTGTTTCTTTAAAGTATTAAAAATAGTGAGGTGGTGACTCTTGTTGTTTAATTTTTTTTTAATCGCGGGGGAGAAAACGATTTTAGACTGGAGCTGTATTTGCCGTACGCACCACTGCCGGGGGGTGGAGGAATCCTCCCGGCGGTGACATCCGGGGTTGCAATTGGAGCCGGAAGTTGTCGACCAGTTTTACTCGGTGGTGTCGATCTTTCCATGTCGGCTGCCGTACAATCGGCGCAAAATGGGCCGCAGTCCCACAATTCTCTACATCCGTCTGGTGGGCTCTCATCACTTCCTCTACTTGGCTCTGGCACGGTGATGATGCCCCGTCCACCTCTCGGTTCAGTTCCCTCTCTTGGTCCAGCTCATCCTCCGTCGCATCACGATGCCGCTGATCTCGCCGACGCATCGCCAAATTCTGACGTTCTCCTTGCTCTACTCGCGAGGAATAAAAATCTCGAAGGTAACATTTTTTTTCCTCACTTTCTTTTTTTTTTATTGCTTTTTTTAATTCCACTTCATTCCACATTTAGAATCTTAATTTTCGGAAATCTTTCCACAAATGAAATATAAAAAGGATTGACACGAAAATTTAATTTTGATTTTTCCTGACTTTCCCCTAATTTCAAGGCAAAATTTACACTTTTTCTCTAAAGAAAATTCAGAGCTCGGATCGACTTTAGGACACAAAAAAGGACGCTTTAGTCGCATAAATTCACAACAAAAGTCGCCAAAAGTCGCCAAAAGTCGCATGAAATTTTGGAAAAAACGATAAAAAAGAGACATGAAATTGTAAAATAATGTAAAAAAAAATGGCAAAATGTTATTGGGTTTTATAAGAATTGAGTGTAGAATATAACAATTAAAATATTTTTATAAAAATTATTTTATTTGCCTAAAATATCAAGAAAATTATCAATCCTCCAAGTCAAATATTAAAATAATAAAAACGCAATTTTAACGATTAGACAAATATTTTATTTGTAGTTTTTTTTATTTGCAATGAGACCCAAAAATAATTTTTAATCGTAATAATTAATTTTTAAAGCAAAAAAATACTTAAATGAATTGAATAATCGGTTTGCTTATTATTTATTGAAAAATTTATTTTTCTATTATTCTTTTATTATTTAAAAAAACATTTAATAAAATTGTACGCAATCGTCGCAAACATTTAATTATTTTCATAAATAATAAAAATTTCACAGGAATTCAATTATTTACAAATTTTTTATAAATTTCTTCGCAAAAATTCCATTATTTTCATAAATAGTAAAACTCATCGAAGAATTTCAATTGTTTTTAATAGGGGAACATAGTCTAGGTCGGCCACCTTTTTGACTTTTGTTTATAACTTTTTTTTAAAAATGAATTTGGACAATTGAAGTATATGGTTGGAAAGTCCTGTTTAATAGGAACATTTTTTCTGTACAAAGTAAATTGACAGGTTTAAAAATGAAAAAGTTATAAAGATTTAAAAAAAAAAAAATTTGTAGTCCAGGTTGGCCATTACAGTCAAGGTCGGCCATGTTTAAAATTCAAAGGGCATTAATCGTTAAAAAATAAAATAACATGTTTGGAGTTACGGAAAATTGATTCTTTATTGTTTACAGTTTGTAACTTAATGAAATAACAAAATAATAACAATAAACAATATAAAAAAATAAATATAAATAAAAAAAAGTTTTGCACTAAAATATTAATAAAATTAAATAAAAATATTAATAAGATGATCAATTATATTATGAGTTATACAGAATTGCAGTTTTTGCAAATGAAGTAGCTCGTCCTCAACTTTGCGCATTTTAAACACATAGTGGCCGACCTTGACAGTAAGTAACATTACCGAATTGTTGTAACCATAAAGAAATACGTTTCGGGATTCGATTTTTTACTTTGTTTTCCTTTCAACCATGAGTCCCACAAATTTTCTGCATACTTGCCTTGACGATTCAATTTGTTTTTTATCTTTTATTAATGGTTTTTCACATTATGCACAAAACTTTTTTTGAGCTTTTTTTGTACCGACGTCACAGAAAACACAATTTTCGATCCTCCGAAAATGTAATTGAACAAAAAGTTAGGTTACACTAAGACAAGCTTCGACAAGCATGCGTGTAGGTGGCGCTAGTGAACTTGTCCAAAAAATCGCGATGGCCTACCTAGACAGTAGACCAACCTTGACTACATTCCCCTACTATTTTAAATTAATTAATCGAAAAATTCAATTATTATTTTTACAAATAAAGTTTTACACAAGATTCAATTATTTAAAATAAAATTTTCATTATATTTATTATATTTCAAAAACATTAATTATCTAAAGCAATGTTTATAAAAATTCTTAGGAAGAATTCAATTATTTTCAAAAATAACAAAATTTTTCACAGAAATTCAATTTTTTTAAAACATTTTAATAAAATTTTTCGCAATAATTCAATTATTTTCATAAATATTAAAATTCTTCTCAGGAATTCAATTATTTTTGAAAATTTTAATAGAATTCTTACCAACTATTCAATTATTTTTATAAATAATAAAATTCATCGCAGGATTTTAATTATTTTTAATACAATTTTACAGGAATTACTCAAAACATGTAATTATTCTTAAAAATTTAATTTCAATTTCTCAATAAAATCAAGTATTTAAATAAATGTTTTTTTTAAATTCTTTGGAAGAGTTCAATTATTTACAAAAATATTAGAATTTTTTAAAGGAATTCAATTATTTTCAAATACTTTAATAAAATTGTATTGATAGAAATCAATTATTTTAAATACAATTTTAATTAAATTATTTTGAAATAATTTAATTATTCGTTTAAATTTTTTAAAAATTCTTCCCAAGAATTAAATTATTTACATATGTCGATAAATAACAGAATTATTTCCGAAAATTCAATTATTTTGAGGCATTTTAATAAAATTCTTTGGAACATTTCAATTATTTTAAAAAATTTCCCTCAATTGCATGATTTTTAATATCTACTATTTCAATAAAATGTTTCAAAAGAATTCAAATACTTACTTAAAAAAGTTTAATAAAATTCTACACAAAACTTTAATTATTTTCATAAATATTAAAAATTTCACAGGAATTCAATTATTTACAAATTTTTTATAAATTTCTTCGCAATAATTCCATTATTTTCAGGAATTAAAATATTTTCATTAAAAATAATTAAAAATACTAGAAAATAATAATTGAATTAAAATGATGAAAATAATTTTTTAAGAAGTTACAGTAACAAAGTAGCAAGTTTTAATTATTATAAAACATAAAGAAAGCGATGACTCCGACTCAAAGACTCGGAGTGATCGATTTCTTCATGTTTTATAAAAATTTTTAAAAGTTGTTTAATTTCAAAATGGTTTGAATTTGAATCTTTTAAAAAATTTTTAATTCCTATGGAAAAATAATAATAATTAAATATTTATTTAAAACAAATTTTTTGAATAATTGAATTCTTTTTACGAATTTTAATAAAATTTTTAAGAATAATTACAATTGTCGAGAAATTCGATTGAAATTGTATTATTAAAAATATGTAATTGAAATTTTACGATGAGTTTTAATATTTATGAAAATAATTGAATTCCTAAAAAGAATTTTATTATTTATGAAAATAATTTATTCTCTGGAAAAAATTTTATTATTTATAAAAATAATTTATTTATTGCGAAGAAAATTATAAAAAAATTTGTAAATAATTGAATTCCTGTGAAATTTTTATTATTTATTAAAATTATTAAATGTTTGCGTAGAATTAAACAAAATTTTTTTTTAAATAATTGAATTCTTTTGGAAAATTTTATTAAAATAGTAGATATTAAAAATCATTAAATTGAGGAAATTTTTTGAAAATAATTGAAATTTTGACAAGAATTTTATTCAAATTTTTGAAAATAATTGAATTTCGGAGAAGAATGTAATTATTTCTAAAGATAATTGAAATCTTGACGAGAATTTTAAAAAATTTTTAAACATAATTGAATTTCTGCGAAGAATTTTATTACTTTTGAAAATAATTGAATTTCTTCAATCATTTGTAACTTCTCCAAAATTCAATTTTTTCTAGTGTTTTTAACTAAAATTCTTCTAGAAATCCATTATTTTTAATAATTATTTAAATGAATTTAAAAAAATTTAAGTAATAAAAACATAAGTAAAAAAAATCCTTTTATGGAAAAGTTTCTTCTTTTTCAGAAAAAAACACTTTATTTCTTGACTTTCGACAAAATTGTTGACTTTTTAAAAACAAATTGCTTTTTTCGGTTTTAATTTCTCATATAAAAGAGTCAAAATACTTATTCGAATAATTACTCTTTTTTGCATCAAATTTCATTTCCTAACAAAATTTCCAGCATTTTCATAGAAGAAAAATTTCTACGCTTCGTAAAAAATGCTTCTCTCGCGCGACAATTTTTCCTTGAAATAAATTTCCCTAATATTTTAAAAAAGAATTTTTAGCATTTATCACAGAAAATGGTTACACTGAAATATGCAGCACTCTTATTTTCATCTAAATTAGATTAACTTTTGTGAACTTACTTTTCAGTATATAATTAATGCAAATTATGATTATTATTAATAATAATTATTACTTTTTAAAGAATAATAAAATTTAAAAGATAAATAAAATTAAATAAAATTATGCAAATTAAATTTAATCTTTAAATAAATCTTTAAAGATTTATTTAAAAAATTGCTCATTATTAATTATTATAATTAAATATTTAAATTTATATAAAAAAAACCATTCACTTCAAATAAAATTTTTACTTGTTCCTCAAGAAACTTCTTTCCTTTCTTCCTTCCTTCTTTCTTTTTTCTTTATTTTGTTCCTCAAAACAAAAATATTTCCTGCCCTTTTTCCTGACAGTCAATACTTTAAATAATACGAAATTTATCTCGTAATAAAAAAAAATTTCTTTTTTGATAAAATATATATGTTTAAGAATAAGCTTTATCTTATCAAAATTATGCAACCGAATATTTATCAACCGATACAAAAACTTCCTCATTTTATTCTTTTATTCTCCTCTATTATAATGTTACAAATTCTACAAATTTAGAAATTAATGTCTGCAATTTCATATTTAGAGTTATTTCAATAACTCTAATTTAAAGAACTTCTAAACTTATTTAAAGAACTTCTGAAGTTATTTAAATAACTCTAAAGCATAAATTAGAATTTTTCCTCATAGTTTTTAATCCAAATCGACTCTAAAAATTAAACTAAAATTAAACCACATTATTTAATCTCTTTTTCAACTCTTTCAAAAATAGAATCAAAGTGCACGTTTATTGTACATGGAAAAAAAATAAATCACACTAAAAAGTCGAACTTGAATGATTTTTACATACGAATTGCAATAAGATTATCATTTGTTTTGCTTGAAAATAATGAACAATTGCTCACACACGATGTTTATATTATGTCGAGTTTAAAAGACGATT